GATGATGTGAAGGGTAAAGATGTCTCATGGCAGCAATTATATTCCGTGAAATTGGACTGTTTCCATTATGATCCTGATAGAATTGGATTCCTTCAACTTTGATGGAATTGCAATTCTAGGAAATCTCAACTCTCAGCTATTAAACATGCTCAAAATTAGATTCCATTTTTATTTTAATGATTAATCAAGCTCTTATATTACATTATAATATATAAGTTTTTTTTTGAGTTACAAGGCCATGGTAAAACCGTGCAAAAGACTAAAGTCTAGTCATGTCTAAAATCATGAGGATTATACAATCATGCGGTAGCGCATCAAAAATTATAATATTAAAGGTATCATTTGGAGGCTGGTGAGCTAAGAGATCAGCACATCGATTAGCTTCTCTATGGACATAGTCAAAGGTGGCTATTCAATCCCTCATAACAAGGTCTCCAATCTTCTTGATAATGTCATAATACAGGTGAGTGTCAGAGTAGGTGCGGTTAATAAGTGACAGCGCCTCCATCGAATCAGAGTAAATATTGATTCTTGATAGTTTCGTATTCCAGTAAAGTTTAAGTCCCTCAAATAATCCCAGGAGTTCAGCTGCTGTACTAGGATGATATCCAAGGAACTTGGAAAAACCTTTAATCCAATTGCCCTTATCATCTTTGATGATGCCTCCACAAGCTGCAGCACCATTAATGTTAACAGAACCGTCAGTGTCGAGTCTGACCGATCTGAGTTTAAGTGGGCTCAATTTTCCTTCATCTGTAAAGTTACTTTTTCCTAAGTGATTGATCTTAGATAGAAGCTTCAAGTCATTATTTATCTAATGAGTGCTGGAGAAAACAATATTGTTATTAGGTATGTTATCTGTGGAGTATAATTTTTTGCATCTAGCTTTCTAAATATTCCAGCAAGCTTGCGCAAAAAGCTTTTGCCCAGGCGTTCTTCTTGTTTTTAAGCTACTTGTTTCATTTTTTGCATTTTAGATTATCCAATCCTGCACATTAAAGGAGAAGAAAGTGTTAAGTCTAATAGGTTTAACTAATTTTTGCCAGACTTCTTTGGCTTCTTCACAGTCTTGTAAAATATGAATTAAGGAATCAAGGGAGTTACAACCAAATGGACAGAGACATTGGTAGGGAGCATTCCCAGATGTTTGCATGTGATTGGACTGAAGATGATTTAAGGCAGCTTTTCATAAAACGTATTTTATTTTTTTATATGTTGGCCACTTCAAATTTTAGTCTATATATAAGAGTGATGCTGATCTTTCTAGAAATCCATGGCTTTGTAAGCAGATTTAATGGAGAAATTTCCATCAGATGAGGGTCTCCAAATAAGGACATCTTCTTCACCTCATTGGTTAGGAAGTAGCACAAGTAAAATTTGTTTAATTACATCAAAGTGGAGGCAATGATTTAGGAGATCAATATTCTAGCCTCCTGTAATATGGCGGAAGTCAGAGACCCTAGTATGGAGAATAGAATAGAATCAGCATTAGAAAAAGCATGCATGACAAGAGAATCAAGGAGCGGAGAACATTTGTCATACCAAAATGATATTTGATCTCCTTTACCAACTTTCCAACCTACATGAGACATAAATTTATCCCAAACTTTGCAAATGCTGCTTCGGGTATAAGAATAAGAGTTAGGTTTAACCACTATCAAAATTCTGGGTTTGTTGCATTTGTATTTATCATGAAGAATCTGAACCCAGAGATAGTGTGGCTTAGTGATTAGGCCCTAACAAAGCTTCATTATGAAGGCGATATTTTGATTCTTCAGTTTTCTAAGTCCAAGTCCCCCATCTTTTCTATCCATAGTGATTCTATCCTAAGAGAGAAGATGTGGTTTTTTGTTTCCATTGGTCGAATCCTATAGGAAATTTCTAGATATTTTTTCTAAATCAAACAAAACATTATCCGGTAAGAGCATAGTCTGTATAGTGTAACTGGGAAGGGCGGATAAAACAGATTTGATGAGAATTGATTTCCCAGCCATGTTCAGTTGACGAATTCTCCAATTTGCCAAGCAAGAATTTGTTCTATCAAGAAGTGAGGCAAAAGTGAGTTTAGATGCCTTTTCATGAATAATAGGGATTCCAAGGTATTTTCCAAGATTCCCTGTGAGTGGAATCCCTAGTTCTTCACCGATCTGTAAGGCTTTGTTAACATTGACATTCTTAGAACAGAAGAGCTTGGATTTCTCTGTGTTTATCTTTTGACCTGAGGCATTAAAAAAATCAAAAAGATAATGTTGAATGATCATAGCTTGAGAAAGAGAACACTCTGTAAAAAGAAAAAGGTCGTCAATAAAAAATAAATGAGAGATAGGAGGACCATTAGTTGTTAGTCTAATAGGCTTCCACTCATTTCTATCAATACTACTGTTAATGTAATGACTTAAACGTTCAATACAAAGTACAAATAGATAGGGAGAAAGAGGGTCTCCCCGTCGAATGCCACGAGAGGGCGTGAATTCCTTAGTAAGTTCTCTATTCTAGAGGACTCACATGGAAGTGGTAGAGATGGCAGTTTGAATCAAGTTTCTAAAGTGACTATTAATTCCAATACACTGAAGAGTATCATCAATGAAGTTCTAAGAAAGCCTGTCGAATGCCTTTTCAAAGTCAACTTTAAGAGCCATGAAGCCTTTTTTGCTCGTTTTATTTCGCATTATATGGATGATTTCTTGGGCAATAATGATATTATCACTACTCTGACGCCCTTGTATGAAACTGCATTGATTATCCTCGATTAAATGGTTCATACAAGTACGAATTCGGTTGGAAAGAATTTTTGTGATAATTTTATAACTTACATTACAGAGGGATATAGGACGAAAATATTTTATACAGGTAGGATGATCCTTCTTAGGGATAAGAGTGATGAAAGCATCATTAATCATCCTAATGGATTGAGGTTCCTTGAAAAATTTTTTGACTAAATCATAAATACTAATTTTCAAGTCATCCCAGTAAGTATGAATAAAGCCAGCATTGATACCATCAGGACCTGGAGCTTTGAACGCCCCAATCTTAAAGGCAGTAGTATTTTTTATTTCTTCTTCTGTCACCTCTTTATAGATAGATTGAAATTGAATGGGAGAAAGGGGTGGAAAACTTCTATCAGTATTAAGCTTGGGTTTGATAACAGTGTCTTCCTTGAAAAGATTGTCAAAATAAGTAATAGCCATATTTTCTAGTTTATTCTGGTCATAGACCCAAGTGCCATCATCAGCTTGGAGTGATAGAATTTGGTTCCTTTTCCTTCTAATGACAGATGTTGCATGAAAGAATTTGGTGTTTTGATTGCCCCATTTTAGCCATTTGCACCTAAATTTCTGGAACCATAATCTTCCTAAAGAGATTTTTCCAATTTCTTGAGAAAATAGTTATCTCTATAGTTTCTGTTCCTATCAATGCCTTCCAGCCGACGCAAGATTCTTTTCTTCTTAGAAGATATATTCCTTATCTTATCTGTGTTCCAATGGGCGGCGGAGGTTGTAAATTTAGATATCCCTTCATTCCAGTCATTAGTTATCGAAAAATCTTTAACCAGAGGGTGAAAAGAATCCTCTATCATCCAAGTAGCATGACAACGAAAAAGAGTATTCTGACACTCTTGGCCATCTTCCTTGGTAAGTTGTATTCTAATCGGGCAATTGTCAGAGCCATATTTAAGAAGATGAAAGGAATCAGCTTGATGAAATTTAAGTTTCTAGTTTAAGTTACAAAAAGCCCAGTCAAGCCTTTCTTTGATGTTGGCTTTTTCCCAAGTAAATCTATCACCATGATAATTTAATTCAAGGAGATTGGAAGCATTTATGCAATGCTTGGATTGCTTTATGGATTTCCAATTAAAACTATTACTTCCAGATTTGTCTACACAAGAGAGATAAGAATTAAAATCTCCAACTACAAGCCAAGGTTCTGAATTATTTTGTGTAATAGAAATGATGGTATCCCAAAGGAGATCACAGTTAAGAGGGTCAGGATCACCATAGATACAAGATAGCAAATAATGATTGTTAGAGTCAACAACATTGACCCTACAATGGAGAAGTTGGACATTATAATAAATATAATCAATATTAACAATATCATTATTTCATAGTAACCAAATACCTCCAGCATAATCAATGGCTTCCACACAAATCTAATCAGAGAAACCAAGTTTCATAACAATTTTGTCAGCTCTAGTACCACTACCTCTAGTTTCCAAAAGGATAAGAATTTGAGTATTATGAGTTCTAGTGATTTCTTTAATATGTTTAGGGAAACTTTTAGCACATAAACCCCTGCAATTCCAGCAGATAATATTCATAGAATTAATAAAAGGATTAGATAAACCTAGGTAATGGTTACATGTTAGAGGTTTCTGTTGAGTCTTCAATTTGATTATCACTAAATTCGTCATCTTCCAGGTCTTCGTTTTGAGTTTGAATTTAATAGTCCTCATTCAGGAGATCATCTTCAAGAATGTCATCTTCATAGTTTTCGGAAATGAAATTACCAGCATTATCAAAATCCAGCAGATCATTTTGATGTTCCATATTGTCTATACCATTAAGCTGGGTTTCAGGCATAATTGACTGACTAACCATATGGTCAGGAGGTTTTTTCTGGACATGGAGATGATTAGAAGGGTTTGAGGAAGTATTAACAACTATACCAGAATGAACGTAGTACTCTAAACATTTATATCTGGTGCGTAAGCTTTGTCATTTTTGCTTCTATTAGCTGCCTCAATATCCGTTGAATTCTTTGCTGATTTTTCGTTGATGGGCCTATCTGAGCTGACCAGATTTCTTTTGCTTCCTTTAATAACATTGTGGATCCTCTTTATGGGCCTAGTAGACACGCTATTGGGCTGACTCATAGCATTAGCAGATTTATCAATATTTAACCTGTTTGGGCCATCCCATGAGAAGCTCGGCCCAGTTCTGGTGGATTTGAGCTCTTATCAGATCCAACTACAGCCTTTCCCTTCCCTTTAGAAGCTTCAGCCACGATTTCATAGTCTACTGGACGAGATCTTTTCACACCAAAGAGTTCCTTTTTCCATCATACCTGTCTGACAACTTTCGTAACCGAGGATTGCTTAGGTCGACCATTGATTGCTGCAGAGCTCTCTCTCCCCTGTCCATCGTCGCCCTGATCTAGATCTACTAGCACGTCGTATCTTGAGCCAGATGTAGGTTTAGTGCCCTGATTCTGACGCAGCGATCGATTGTCCATTGGGTTTCTCAAAGTTCGCACGTTTCTAGATCGTCTCGCGTCTCGTCTGAATCTCATGAAGTCTCCGAACTCCTCTTCCGGCAAGCTTCGATAATCGTCTGGTGGTGCCCTTGTATGCTGTTCATCTTTTCTATTTTCTCTTTCTTGAACCTTGGTAGCAGCTGAATATTGAGCTTTATTTAAGTTAGTGGTTGCTTCTTCTTGCCGTGTTGTTTGCTCTGAGCTTCAATTTTTTAGATTTTATGGACAATTATTTTTGTTGTGACCATAGCACTCGCATCCGAAACAGATTAGATTAGGCTCTCATATTCCACGTTATAAAGCTCATCACTAATAAGAATCCTGGGGACAAGTTTTTTCTGAAGATCAACTTCCACGCTTATTCTCACAAATTTGCCACGTTCAGTTCTTCCATTCTGGTTAATGGAGTCAGATTCTGATAAGGAGTTAGAGTCAACTTTTAGAATCTTTCCTATACAGTTTCCTAATCTCCAAAGGATTTCTTTGTCATAGCATTGTATAGGAATATTAGACAATCTAACCCAGAGAGCAATTTTCCCCAGGATATTCAAATTTGGGTTGAAATTGGGAGCCCACCTTTGAACTAAGATGCAATGATCAAATATGGTCCAGGGCCCACCATTGATAATTTTATCATAAGCAGTGTGATCTTTTGTTCTGACTATGTAGTAACTGTTGACAAGATCAATCAATTCAAAGTCCTTAAGTTGCCACATTCTAGCTAATTGGGTTTAAGTGATTTTGTATTGAGTTGGAGGCCCAGTGTGTTGATTACAATAGCATCCATCCAAGGCTGGCATATTTTCTTCCATTCATCATTTGAAATTTGTAGAGTAGGATAATGATCCATCAACTGCATAATTTTTTCAGATGGAGACCATTCTTGTTCTAGTTCTTTAGCAAGGGATTCATTTCTATGCTTGGTTTCTCTCCCTATATGAATTCCATAACATCCATTGTAACCAATCAGTTATTCTTTATAAGAGATAGGTACTTTACCTCCTTGGATCGTTGCTGCTGTGTTGCTTGATGAGGCATTAATTCCTTGGGTTTCATTTGTTTGTGCGTCCATTGGCAGCTCCTTTTGGAAGTTTTTTTGTCTATCATTTTGATTGGAGCTATCCTGTTGAATCTGTGTATTTGAATGTTGTTGGTCATCTGAACCTTTGTCTATCATTTATTCATCTAACTTGGAGATATTTTTATTGAGTAAGTCAATTTCTTCTTGAGATGCAGGCGGATTCATGATTTCTTTTGGAAAAGTAGGGGTTGAGAAGATGAAATTTGGATCAAGTTTGGAGCTGGAGTTATGCTAAAAGAAATCGACAATATGGGAATCAGTAGGACTCTGAAGAAAAGAGATTTATGTGTGCGTTTTTTATAATATATAAGTTTGTAGAGCTAACAAAACTATAAAAGTCACAAAGAAGAGCAACATGATAGATAGCAAGAGAAAGTTGAAACCAAATTGTGCCGTAAATATAAAATTAATTTATAATAATTGACAATATTTGTGATTTACCAACCAAAATAAAATAGGAAACTACACCCTAATAGAAAATAACAAAATCAACCAACATCAAATTACATTTAATTCATTTAACAATTATAATGACAATTTTTTTACATCAAAATGATTTGAATCGGTGATTCATTTTTTCTTCGTATAATCATTAAATTTATTATTTAGTTTGATCCCCAGTTTTACTTCCTCGCAAGCTTAGTTTACGATTACAAAAACAAACTTAATATCACGTGCAAACTTATCCTGCTGGAAAATAATCACGTATAAGCACTTTCTAAATTCAGATGGTTTCGGTTTTTGTAAAAAAAAAAAAAAATTATGATGCCAGCCTTAGGTAAATACGTTATGCAAATATTACAAAAAAGTATTTTGTGAAATCAACCGTTTAAATTAAATCCATCCCTGAAGCGAAGATTATATTACTCTAGCTAATTGTAGAGGTATAATACCTTCCTCATTGTTAAAGCTAGCAATGTTTTGGCTATATTATTAGTGAATTTATGTGCTAGATTTGATTTGTTTGTGTCATCAATATGCGAAAACCTATCAAGAATACGAGGTAATATATTAGTTGTGGATCATTCCTTGCTTCTTCTTTTTTTATGCATCTTGAATTTGGAATTTTCATTTTTTTTATATACAAAAAGTTTAGATAAGTTGGATTTCCAGAATTCACTGAGATTAGAGCATGCTACTAGAATTAGAATGCTTACAAAGATACTTACAGATCGTCCACCAACATGATCCTCACTCAAGAGTGAGATTTGATCCCGCGACTTTGTGAGTTATGAAATAAATTCTTACCAAGTAGATTAATTTTTGTGAGAAAATTTTCTTTTTTTTTCTTTTTTTTTTTTTTGGTTATATAAGAAGCATTTAAACTCTAGTCAATATGCCTTTCTTGTCTTCTGCACTTCATTTGTTTTTTGACAAGTGAATATTCATAAAATGAAGACCGTCTATAGAGGCATGTGATGTGCCTCAATTATATGTTCAAGTAAAAGAACTAGAAGATACTGATATGAAACCTTCAATGAAAACTAACAAAAATTAGGTCTAATAAAATGAGTTATTTCTTTATATTGTAATAAACTAAAGTTCTATTCTTATTGAAAAAAATACTTATATTTAATATTCAATTGTATCTCAAACATCCAGTCTCCAATAAGGGGTGGGGTGGAGAGAAAACAAAAGAAGGGAAAAGAAAATTAGCCATAAACAGCAGTTAATGATGTTAGAGACTCGTCATAGTGAGGCAACTTTGGTCCCTTTGGATAAGAATGGAAAAAAAACATACATTAGCAAGATATATTTGATTGCATTGATGTGGAGAGTTTGTTGGCTAAAAGAAAAAGTTTAGACCTACGTGTTACATATACATAGAGAGGTGGGGAGAGAAAAGGATAACGTTCATTTACCCCACTATGGTTGGAGGGGAACGAAAGGAAACGAAAATCTTAAATAAGTTCAATTTCATTTCTGACCCCAAAGAAAAAGTTCATTTTCATTTACAATTTATTAAAAATTTTCCTCCTCACCCCTCCACTCCAACCAAACACGTCTTATCAAGACTGCTTAGTAGTCACCAAGAAGCTAAGAAACCAACCAGATTAGTTTCACATTCTTCCGTCATAAAGACGACTTGAACAAAAAAAGAACTGTAAAAGACTAGCAGTCAATATTATTTGACATGACAAGTACAACCATAAAACATCTTCGGGCCATTCCTTCCTAAAATTGTATGATGAGATGGGCCAAACCACCAAATCATTTTCAACAATTAAATTCCTGAACTTTTGGATATAAGCCGGAGTATTATCAGGGTACTTACAGTTACAACATACATGATGACAAATTTACAAGGCGTCAAGGTACATATAATTTCTTCGTCGGTTGTACTGAAGAAGGCTACCGTATGTGCGATCCCAAACACCAATATAAAGCGATTCTGTATCAGGGCTGAACGATACACCAGAGATCTCGCCAAAAAAATCAATCTCCTGCTCCTTCTCAAACCCTTGCTTTGCATCATAGATGTGCACAAAGTCGGCTGGCTCGGCCGTCGCCATGAACTGTCCGTCAGATGTGAATCGTATTGATCGAATGGCTCCAAGGTTACCCTTCAGCACGGCTACAGACTTTGACATGTTCCGGACGTCCCAAACACGACACGTCTTGTCTTGGTTCCCAGTAGCAAAAATATAACCTTGAGGATGCCATGCTGATGCAAACGAGTAATCCAAGTGTCCGCATAATGACGTGACAGTCTATAAAGAACAAAGAACATTAGCATATCTCAGCTCTTCTCATGTCATACAATCATTCTTGAGAAGAATAAAACTAGAAACTTGTGGCATGGAAGAGCAGAATAATTTACCAACCTTCCCTGTTTGAGAATCCACAACTAACCCATCTGGGTTGTCTCCGACAACTACGAGTAGTTTACCATCAGGACTCAATGAAGTATGCTGCAAGAAAAATGGGCAAGAGCTCCGATAATTATTTGTGCTGTCTTCAAACATTAAATATCATATTTACTAACACTAGCAATGCACACCCATATGGTGAAAAAAATAAAGACTAAACGAGGACTGGAACATGTCACCTGTAACTTGTGATACTATTCTCTATAAGGCTTCATCAACATAGAAGATGTGAGCGTGTGGCCTTGGTTGCTAGGTTTAACATTTATCCTCAATTTTAATTTTAATTAATAAAAGATAGATATCAGACAGCATAGATCATCCATTTCATCCAAAAAAAAAAAAAATACTGATTCCAATTGGGGGAATCCCTTTTGGTTGCCAGTTAAACCAGCACTTGTATACTTCAATGAACACTTAACACCATGTGTGGTTGCACCATTGGAAAGGAATGAATTCCCTTTCTATTGCACCCAAAAAAAAAAAAAAACGAAAAGTATCAACTATTATATTCCTACTATTGTTATTCAGCAGTGACTACATTTTTTTATCACTATTTTTTATTCAAAAGCACAAGAGACCTTTCTGACCTGCCAAATCTTTTTTTTTTTTTTCAATTCAATTTTCTTTTAAGTTTTATACCATTCTAAATACCAAATGATTCTAACAAAAAAGCACGACTTCTCTCGTTGACCAAGCAAGAATATCAAAATTCAAGATAAAGGGCAAATTCGTGTTACTAACAGCAAAAATAGATTCAAGCCGCGTGAAGGGAAAAAGAAGCCAAAAAGTTGTCCCTGTAGAGTGGGCGGTCAATAGTCAGCATGCAATACTAGTTATACTACTATATTATGTAAAAGATTTCAGCAAACTTGTCAATGATAGTGAAAACCTATTCTCTCAGTTTTGTTCTTAACAAAGGCATTCTCTATTCGAATTTCTCAAATTGTCAAAGCAAGAGAAGAATGTAAAAACACATTATCAGGCAAGGTTCTGAAACTTAAACTTCAGATGATCTTCAGAGTTCAGAAGACAGACTTTATTTCTACAGACACCAATGATGTTACTTCTGTTTCAGCAAAGACTATAAGGAGTTTCCAATTTCAATTGCTTGCTAACTCAAGAGAGACCAATGACTCAATGATAACTACAATATATAAGACCAGCAGTATTAGCACGAGGCTTCACACACAAAGACACACAAAAGGGAAGTTAAAAAAAAAAAAAAAAGGCCTGAATATTGTGCAAATCAAATCAGCATCAATTACATCTCCATGGTCAAGGCATCAAGCAATCCTTCTCAACAAAACATGATGGTGCTAGTATTTCTCTGTTCATATTATCTTTCTCTTATAAATGGCAGATACCAGGGAAAAAAACTACAAAAGATCACGCCAATTCTATAGGTATGAGCAATGATTTTGTTTCTTTTAATTCAACCATAATAAATCAGTTGAAGGTACTTACATTTACTGGCCAAGAGAAACAGAAGTGCTTGGAAAGCTGAAATCTCTCCATATCAAAGTCTCTAACTCCAGAGTCATTATTTGAAGCCATGAAATGAATGGCTCCACTGCGAGAATAATGTATTATTATTAAGCAAATATACTTTTAAAGTTGAGAATTACTAGGATAGTAAGCATGTGACAACTAAGTTAAACTAAGCGGGTGATCACAGGTGCGTTGAGTTCATACTATTTGTGCTACCATTTGTACTTGACCTAATTTAAAATTAGAGACCGAGGGTATCTGGCCAAGTCTGACTCCCCTTTAAAATATTCTCCTATTTTCTACAAGAATGACAATTGCCAACACCATATAGACTATTGAGAAACAAAAATCAAAGAACAAAGCACAAGAGTAAGACCTTCGATCCTCATAAATCTCCACTGCATTTGTTATTGCATTATCATCATAAGTAGTTCTGGTACAGAAGCTAATCCCAGGTCGATCTAAGTACTACAAGACATTATGTATAAGGCATCAGTCAGAAAAGACAGTAAATTACCAACAACAGAACCATTTTGGAAAATAAACAGAAAATTAAATAGAGTAAATTAACAAACCGCTACTGAAATTGTTAAATCATATAAACCTCATCTGTTTTAAAAAAATATATACTTTAGACCAATTTTAAAGTTTTTTTAACTAAAACGCCATCCACCAACTTAAATATATGCATTTTAATTAGTCATATAATAAAATAAAAGAGTAGATTATGTTTAGGTTAATGGACGATGGTTAAGAAAAGCAATTTAATATATAATTAAAATGTAGCAGAATTTGAGGACTATGACTCTGTATATTAAATAAAAAATAAAAAAAAAAGAAGAAGAGGAAGAGGAAGAGGAAGCCTGCAAAATTTTAATTAGGGACTAGAACAAAGGATCTTGGGCCTAGTACGTTATTAGCTCATATTAAGAATCCTTGTAGGACTATGAATCATAAGGAAACCAATTCTTATTAAAAATCTGTTTTGGTTCAACCCTGGTCATTTAAAAGTATATTACTCTTTGCTTATCAATACACTGATTTGATCTTGAATTTTCTGAAATTTGTTCCTTTTCTTTTGAGCCCCTATATGCTCGGCATTCCTTAGCAAAATAATAAATAAAATGAGTCCAACAATAATACCTTGCAAATTAGTTCTCCCTGAAAACCTCCGGCTATCATCAACTTATCTCGTACAGCCAATGTACTAATTTGCGTCTGGGTAAATCCTTCCAAAAGGCTTCCAGGATGTTTCTATTTGACACCACAATTTAAAATTTCAGATGCCTAATCTAGCTGTGGTTTTCACTTTTCTCAACAAAAAACCAGTGCAACAATGCTTACCTCACATGGAGCTACGTGCCCTGATACATTCAAAACTTCAGATCCCTTACAACTTAGTGAAGACCAGTGAATAATAGAGTAATGTGAAACAAGATACACATCATGCTTTGAAGTTGACCAAATCAAGTTCCTCAACTGCAAATTACACATTAAGGGCTTCACATTATCGTTACTTGCATTATTAAAAAAATGCCTAAAGTAAGTTCATGAAGAGAAAAGGCAAAGCATGAATATAAAACCTCATAAATCAAAACAAGTCAATCCCTAAAAATGGAGACTTCCATCATTACTTCTTAAACCGGGGAGAGGTGAAGCTGCACTAAAAAAAAAAGAAAAAAACAAAAGTAAAGAATCACTGCATAAACATACTTGAAAATGAAGTATTGTTGATTTCACAGATCGAGTGTTTTGCCAGAAATCATAATACTTTCCCCCTTTATCTGTAGGTTTGCATTCCTGTAGAGAAGAGTTATAAGGTGAAATTCTCCCACCAAAATCAGTGCTCAAATGATATTTGAATGCCATGTTAAACATATTATACCTTCTCAGACATTTCCCCTGATTGCGGTATATTTTCATAATTCTTATACTGCTCTAGTCTTGTCTGTCTGTACTTATCACGAGTAATGCTCAGTCTCTCCCAAGGTATACCTTGGATATCTTTTCCCCCCCTGGCTTCTGTAGCGGTGGTATCTGATATATTGTTTTCCTGCAACAGAGCACCCAAATCCCCACCCCCAACAAAAGATGCAAGCCCACACAAAAGACAAGGGAAAAAGATTAGGTTAATGACAACAGTGTACCCATAAAGTTATAATTAGTCATGTACATACAAGTCATCTAAGTAAGGAGACTAAGCTGAAGGCAGGAACAATATAAATGGGATGACCAACATAAAAGTAACAGTTAAAAACAACTTTGGAAGGAAAACCAGCATTCACACCAAAACATTAGATATTTAAATCACAAGGGTTTTGCATATGACTAGAAACAAACCAAAGGGTCATATTGATCATCATCCTCATCTTCTGAATCTGAACCACCATATACTCTTCCGCGGATATATGAATCATTTTCTACTTCGGCCATCTCATTATCATCTGCGACATAGTCCATTTCATTCCCATCATTCTGAGCCATGTTTCCTTATCCTATTAAAACCTGGTGTATAAAAGGAGAGAGTGCAAGGACTTAATGATCGTAAATAATTAAATAATCATCAAATTTTATCACCTTGACGCTGAATATACTATCTAGTTCATATGGTAAGAAGTACTAAGCCCGTCCTGAAAGATTACAAACATCTCTTGCCAGGAACGTGATGCCACTTACAGAGATGTATGGTAGGATTGAAGAAAAAAGGCAAAACTTTAACCTAATCTACAACCAAAAACGTTAACAAATGAAAAACGATCCTTGTCAGAGTCTAGAACCCCAACGAAGGGGATGCGAAAATTTGCGAAGCTCGAGAGACATAATGCATTATTTTGGGCAGGTTCAATTATTCCTGCCGCTGAAACGAAACAACCATCTATTTCTGTAACCAAAATAACCCATCTTGAGGATTTCTAAACCAGAAATTCGACTTCCCATGGTCATCAATCAAATGTTCAAAAACCCAGAAACGTAATCACAATGGAGAGAAAAGGGAATGAAAATTGATAATTCATTAATAAAATTGAATAAATGAAAACTTGAAGTCAAGAACATCATAACTGAATCATGAAAATTAAAGGAAACAACGAAAAATATAATTCGTTGGCGAAAACACTAAGAAAGCTTAAATGGGTACACAAATTCTGACCCTCTTTTCTTCGTAAAATTGAATCCAATTGATCGTTTGTTGGAGAAGGAAATTGATCAATAAGCGAAGACAGAGCAGCGCTGCTTCGCCAGTTAGGTCTTGGTAATAATGACCTGATCTGCGTCTGCAATTCACCGAGCTTCGCAGTTTGAAGGCATATGTATGAGAATTTACATGATGTTCAACACTTTTTTCCCTTAAAAAACGAGTTACACAGGAAATCTAGAATGTAGACATGAGAGGTATGAAGGCCAAATCGGGCCGGATAAATATCACACTTCAATCTCGATGCTCGAATCTAAATTATTATTTTTAAAATTTTTGTTGCAAAAATATTATTAGAGAGAATGACACTTGTGTCCTTACAAGGAGTTAATGAACACTTTTAAGTTCTTCAAACACATGACCTTTTTTTGAGATTAACAAATACGATATGATATTAACAATTTTTAAAAAAATAAGGTTTAATATATTATAATAATTTTCTCCTAAGGAACCCAAATAGTGTGTTCTCCCGTATTAATATTATGTTGGTTCTTCTTTGGCCAAACAAATTAATAGTTTTGTTGGCCAAAAAAAAAACAAAAGAATAGTTTGGTTCTTAACATCAATTAATTTATTTTATAATTTATTGAATTTTGAAAAACATTGCATTACAAAAATAAAATATAATCTTATATTTATTATATTTTTTTGATATATACTTATTATATTAAATAAAATTAGATGTAAATCCCCACAATGTATGAAGTTTGAAATAGACTTCATTATTCATTGCTTATAAATATTATGAAATTTCTTTCCTTGAAATATTATGTTGTTTTTTAATAATTTATTCTTTTTTTAAACTTATTTTTCAATTTACTAATTTAAAATTATTATTCTATATTAATCAAATAGTTTAACACCTGTTGGTGGTTATCATATCATATAGATATAAGTCTATGTAGTAAGGCATATTATTCACACACTTTATCTAGTTATTTAAAGCCCATTTTGTCATGTTTTATTCTCCATCAAGTGTATTCATCATGTTAAAAGTAAGCAAATCACCTAAAGGGTAAAGTTGTGCATTAAGAGCTTTTTAGTCTAAAAATATAGTTTTAAATAAAAAAAATTGGATTAATGTTGGATTTAATGTATTTTATGCCCAAGATAATGAACGTAAAATTGGATTTTAAAAATTCAATTCAGCTTGAAAGATATTAATTAAAAATTATAATTTAGGGTTGTTGCTTTTGTTACCTAATTAGGATTTTTGTATATGTGTGTGTGCATGGCTTATTTTACATGTTTGGCAGCTCTAATTTTCACTCCATTGTTTTTCTCCCATCTAAATAATTAATTTCATGTGCCAAGATATCAATTATTATATCACATATATTTATTTGATTAAATTTTGTTCATTACATGACATAAGAGACATACATGCAATTAAATTTGCATCAATTGGTCAAGAAAATGCAAGTGGATATGGGAGACCAGATGTAACATGAGGAAAGGCTTTAATGGATGGAGTAGATCTAATTTTTTAAATGCAAAGCATGGGATTATTCATATTAATATAGGAATTATCATCCAACAGTGAGAAGGTGCCACCTAAGGGCATGTGCATAAAGTGTAAAGCTCTCTAACCTTTTTAATTTCATTTTACAATTAATTTTGAGAGATAATCTAACCCAAACTTGTAATATCCTCCTCCTTCTAATCCCATAATTAAAATCAAATTTTAAGTAATTAGGGAATGAAATTATAGTAATTATCAAAGTCCAAGCTTTCATTGGTTAGCAAAATAGAGACCCTAAGTTTATGAAACTAAAATTATTTTTAAAGTCTTGCAACCAAACAAATCAAAGTTCACAAATACACGAAAGTATGGGATCATTTCATAAGTGAGCGTATTTGTTTAAAAATTTGAAACAAGAGAATTTTTAAAAAATTTTGAGGCGTGCATCGCGGCTTGTTGAACATGTGCCGTAGCATGTTCACCTCTGTGAAACATGCCACGGCTCGTGGCACCATGCGTTACGGCGTAATTGCATGAATTTTGACAGTAAATTTTACTGTTAATTTGACAGCATTAGGGCCAACTTTTAAGGCACCCCAAATCTCCATCCGACGTTTGAACAATGCAAATTAGGTGTCTACAGAAAACTCTTTTCAAGCTCTAACTAATGACATTAATCTCAGACTCAAATTCTTTCTAGAACAAAAATTAGACACACTTTTTAAAACTTATACCTTTACAATAATTTTCACAAAATCAAGTGTCCAAACCAAATACCCAATGCCAATTGCCACCGACACCAATTTGACCCCATACAAATCATCAAGACTAACTCGTGCAATGTACCATATCATATGAAATACTCCCAAATCAAATTTTTACTACTCAAACCCTTAAATTCAAAAACATAAAAAGGGAGAGTTTACCACAATTTTCATCAAGTTCTCCTAAATCATCTCATGATATGCTACATTTTTATTTGCATTAGTATTTTAGCCCTATCACAATAACTCATATTCATCAACTCACTCCCTAGGACCCAAAATACACTTACAATTTACAATTTACATAATGCAAGTAAGGAACAAATGAGAATTCCTAATTGATAATTGAAATGGTCATACACATATAATTACTCAAAATAAGAGACCTACAATAAAAAGATCGTGATCCTAAGCCTTTAGGTGATTTCCTCTATCCACACCTCTTGAGTTATTCCCTATAATATTGAAGATAATGAGGTGAGTATAACTACTCAGTAACTAAGGTTTGACTAACCCATACTAATGCATATTAATTAGTTTAAATGCAAGTGGCAATTAATGTCAATACTTTAATTCATGTAAAATATTTGAAAATAGATAATCACAATTCTACTCACATAATAGCATTTATTTAAGAAACAATGTTTTTTAGCACTTTTCATATAAAGAGAGTTACTCACACAATTCATTGACTAATACATTATAAAAAATAAAGACTCAACTCATGATATCATCATTAAGGACACCATATAGACAACAGGTGCTCTTACTCACTATATACATGATCACACTTCCCTTATATCTTTCTTATTTCTCTGACACAAAACTGTAGGCTGTAATTTAATGGGATAGTTTATATTCCATGACTTTCCTAGCCTAAACACTTATGAGGAGATTGTCTGGCCAAGGTGCACCCAACTCACTTATGGAACATGATTTCTCCCATTACTCACACTATGAGGTGTCATACACCCTAGACTAGCCTCCTTATTGAACTGATGGATAGTTAGCTAGGCTTGAGTCCCTCATTGAATCAGTAGGACAGTCCCTCGTTGAACAAATGAGATAATATAAATATAATCAATTTGGCAAACCATCTCACGAATGGGCCTTACCACATGAATTTTATCATCTACTCCTCTTCCTAGGTGAACTTCTGCCTCTCAAAATTATGCAATGCATATTCATGCCATAATTCACACATATATAGTTTATATAATCTTCACATGATCAATTTTCATTGAATTTCACCATTACACAAATTATTAAACTTCTTAATCACATTTTTATGAAACTTCAACTAAACAAGTTATTGAACTCCAACTTCACAATCATTATACCTCACACTTTCAAAATCATTAAACTCTACTATTTTAAACATCATTGAACTTCTCATTAATAAAGATTCATGTTACTTTTCAAATCACAAAATCATTAAATTCTCAATAAACATAATACGAAAATCCACTGATTTTGTTCTCAAGGAAATTTTACATCACAAGGCATAAAATTCACAAATTTGATTTAGTGAATTTTCTAACAAATCAAGCCACACTTGCATATCTTTTTAATTTACACATTTTAATGATAAATCATAAATTCATAAACTAATAAACATACAAAAATATAAGATAAAATTCTTCTGGTTACCTCAAACTTTTGAAAGGTCAAAGGTTTCACCCCTCAATTACTCACTTACAAAGCTTCTAAAAAGTTTGAATGGTGCCAATGGTAGTTATTCTACAAGCATTTACCATACAAAATATCAATATCCATTTTTGAGCTATTTTTCACTCACACTTCATCATTTCTTAATACTCAAGATTTATTCTTGACTCATATAAAAGTAGTCATAAAGTTTTTTAGCTTCCTTTAACTCTCATTAATAACGTTGAGCTCTTAAATGGTTATTAATGAAACTACATTATTTCCAACCATCAAATTTATGAGAATTTTTTGACATTTAATGTCCTCCAACTACCAATCATAATAACACCACAAACAACAAGTTTACTTAGCTCAATCTACTCTCACTAACTCTATTTAAGTCAATGGGTTTAGACTCATAGCTTCTATGAATCAGAAATCACCATTAACAATCAAACCCTAACCTCTACTATCAAGAAAATGGAAGAGAGGAAGATTTAAGTAAGGAAGCTTACTTTTGGTGTTTAGGAACTTCAAAAAACTCCTAATAATTAGTTCTCCTAACCCTTAGCACTGCTCCTTCATTCTCTTTGTTTTTCTCTTCCTCTTCTATGTTTCTCTCATGCAAATACAAAGTTGATATATCATAATTTTAGCTGTGCGCCACGGTACATATTGCCTTCTACTGCGGCGTATAGCACAAAGGAGCCCGTTGGATTCAAATATGCCTTTATGCATCACGGCGGACTGACCACGCATCGTAGCATATGGCACAGGGAGCAAATCCTCACTTTTTCTTCCTCTTTCCTCGCTTGGATAACTCGCCATCGATTCAGATCCACTCTTAGGGCTGAAATCACCACAATTATACCAAGTTAAGCCCATCTGGCCACACACCTCATTAATATGCTTAATTTAGTCTATTTGAGCTTAATTAACCTAATTTGAAATTGAGGATGTTACAGAATCCATTTTGCAAGTTCCTTCCCTCATAATTTCATATTAAAACATTCATTCATTCATCTTCTGCATTTTTATCTTTTATTTTCTCTTTCTTAATTCTCAGGGTTCTTCATTTTCTCCTCATTCTCTATAAAATTCTCTCACTCCATCCCCACATCCAACCATTAGATCTTTATAAAACTACTACCATTCTTCTCCTCTCATAATCCTCTACACATTTCAACTATTTGATCTCCCATCCAAAGCTTAATCTCTACTTGAAGTCATGGAGCATTTTGATCAAAGTAAGAACTTGAGGAAAACTTCAATGGAGCTTGAAGGCTAAGGTTCACTTAGTACTTAGAGGATGATGAGGACGTGATAAACCATTTTGATTTTCATATTGTATAACATTTTTCTTTCTCTTAGTCTTTCTCCATCTACTTAACATCATAAGACCATAGTCTTGGATTATAATGTTATCGGCTTACAACCATAGTCTTGAACTCATCTATTAGTAAAGAGATTGATTTGTTGATGGGTTGGTTTGGATATGTGATTTGTATATTTTGGCTATTGATGAGAATAGCAAAATCTTGTGTTTGCATTGATGTTTGTACCTTCCATAAACCTTATCATAGTCTTGAGAGGTGTGTGTTAGGTTTATTTATGGTCAACTATAGTCTTGGGAATCACATGGGCTCTTAACCAAATTACTTAGTCATTCTAATCATTAAACACCTAGCCAACATTTGATACTAACTTAGTTAATTGAATTGAGCATTAGAGTCCCAAGCTTGAGGATATTACTCAAAGAGGTAGGGTTGTTAGAGATAGTCTTCCCAATAGCTATTAAATTTGGTTGGGATGAGAAGGAAAACCAAAGCACACTTATTCTGATATTGGTCAAAATTTAAGTCTTAATCCAATTCTAAAAAGTTACCCATTCTTACTTGATTTTCAAACATTTTAATTCTGCATCTAACTTGTTTTCATTAGTTCATTAGCTTTTGTGATCAAATTAAACCCTAAACATTTGAAAATTTAACCTAATTCACTCAAATAATTTTCATAATTGAACTAATGGACACTTCCATTGAAAGATGACTTAGGTTAACTCTTTGCTACATTAAAGTTAGCTTAGCATTATTTTGACTATGTTGACTAATTTGGAGAGCAGATTCACGTTTGAGAGAGATTGAGATAAAATAACATTATTTATTATTTATGAATTATAAAAATTTTATTGATATTATATGTATATTGATGTAATAAAAATATTTTAGTTATCATATGTTGTTACATAATCAACATTAGTGTAGTGATAATTATAAATTTGTTGTTGCCTCGAGGATAAACGTTATTTTTTTTTTATCTGGTAAACATACGTTACATCTTTTTTTCTTTTTTTTTTGGTGAATATGTGATTTCCTTCTTTTTATTAAAAGGGTTAGATTTAGATATATTCTTTTCTTTTAATTTCTTTGGGCTATTATTTATCATTCTCGGGTCCCAGCTTATTTTGTATGCGTTGATATATTGATATATAAGCAAAAGAAACAGAAAGAAATCATATAATTTAACAATTTTATAAGAACAATCTGTCCTCCCCCCCCCCCCCCAAAGACAAATCTATCCTAGTTGTTAGCATTTAAATGAAGTATGAAGTAATATTATAAAGACAATTATTTTATTATACTTTTAATTTCTCTCAGCACTCCTCATTGTTACCTCTTAAGTTAAACTTAGGTGTTTGTCAAAAAAAAAAAAGAGTTCAACGAAAGTGGTAAGTGACAATTTTTTAATAATAACTATATATATTATTTTTATTTATTTGTCATAAGACTTGTTGTATATGGTTCTCATTTGTTAAATGTTATATTATAATTTTTAATACCACATGTCCACATCTAACAATCAATCATTCCTAAAATTAATATTTCCTCAATTAAAAAATATAAGACATTTTTAATTAAATCTTACCTCTTAATAAAATAATTATTTATTTTTAAACTAACATTATATTTTTATATTTACCTCTATTTAATAAAGTATTTCATTTTAAAATAAATATAAACTGATTTATTTATTAGAGAACTTAAAAAAAAAACAATGATTATATCTTAAGACATTAAAAATATCTTATATTATATAACATCTAACCCAAAACAGATGGAATAATAAATTTTATGCATAGTTAATTTTTTCCATATAATTATTTTATTTAATATTTAGCTTTCCTCGCAAGCTTTTGTGATTACAAAGCAAACCTAATGTCACGTGCCAACTCATCCTACTGACAAGCAAACACCCATCAACAGAGTAACCCTTCTGTTTCTAGATTTAGATGGTCTTATTTAAGATTTTGCGATATTCATTAGGGGTAAATATTTTCTGGAATCAACCCTTCAAATTAGGTCCATCTCCAAAGCGAAACTCACATAGTTCATACTTTCTTTAAAAAAAAAAAAAATTGAGAATATCCAAAACCATCCGCAGATCAAATGATTCGATGATTAAGATGGATTTGATTCAAATTCTTCTCTCCAAGTGAAAATAAAAGCCGGGAATTTAGTCAAGCTTGGAACTTAAACCCAATAAACAGAGAGCATCTGAAGTGCACAGGCTCCTTGATCCTTCAAGAAGTACATCAACTCGAGAAACTAAACTAAGAAAGGGCAATAAAATTCAGTTCTAGTTTACTGCACATTGCACTGAATCACAGATTGCTGCCACCAACCTTTTGTAACGCCTCTTCACTTCTCGTAGACATACCCAATGAAGGATCAAACTGCTCTCCGGCAAGGAAAACATCGTTTGACTGCTGGTATGATGGCATGCTTGACTCCAGTATTTGATGTGGGAGCATCATTTCTGATTTAGAATATGCTCCCTCCATGCTCACCCGGTGCTTCTTCATCGGTCTCTCCCCTCTTGGGCTGTCAATAGGCGAGCCGGCATTGCAACCAGACTCCGGAGTCAACGGTTCGTGGTGAGATGAAAACGATTCATCGATAGACAGACTCTTTGCTGGGGCGCGTTCTTTTCCAGCTTTGTCTAGGAGGGGGCACTCAGAGGTTGGAGCTGGGGTAGCCGGGTCAGTCTTATTCTCTGGTTCCTGACATGCATCAGCTGATGCTGGAGCATCAACCCCCGAGCAAGGCGAGTCTGATAGAACCCCGCCGAGCCGCTGCTGCTCTTCGATTATCTTCTTCAGGTATTTACCCTGTGCTTCTATACGCAGTTGAAGTTGTCTCTGAACCTGTTTCACAAATATAAATCACAGGCGTGCCATCTTAACTCACGAGTCAACACTCCATATGTTCCAAAGTACTATCTTGATTTAAGCTTCACACAATCTAAAATAAGTCATACTATCATTTTTATAGACTTTTATTATACATATAGTAGAGTAAAGGAGAGTACATGCTCTACTTGCATATAAGATAGCTTCCTTTTTTAGGTAGAAAAGATAGCATAATATTCAGAATATGGCAGGTGAAAGCATCCCATAAAGGTCATAATTATTCCCGTCAATTCCTATGACAGTGGCAAAGCATATGCTATTTTATTTCCCTTCAAGTCTTTATGATCATAAATATGAAAGATGTATGAAACATTCCAAGTGAATTTCTCCATCAATGTGTTTAATATACAAGATAGCATGCTTTACTAATGACTAGATAGCGTATTCTTCAGAGTGAGACAAATGAATGCATCCATCGTAAATGTCATAATCATTCCAGTAAATTCACAAGCCGACGGCAAAGCGTGCACTACTTTATTCCCTTTTAGTCTTTATATTCATAAATGCAATGCAAATATGGACATTTGTAGTGTACTTCTCCTTTATTTGCTGCAAGAGAATTACTCATACAGTAACTTCAAAAGAAGAAGAAGAAGAAGAAGAAGAAGAAGTGGCCTTTTGGGATACTTGACATGACAGATAATATTGTTCTTCGAATAAACATCTTATTGTCACACTGCACTTAATGCTTCGCAAATGCCTTCACATAAGTTTACCCTCTTATTGGATTAAAAATTCCCAGATGACAGGTGTAATTTATTTAATGGAGCCAATTGAATTTAAGGACAGAAATTCACATCACCGCTTCATGTGATTAAATTCAATAGGAATGTTAAAAATCAAAACGCGATAAAACCTGTCAACACAATATTATAATTAGGTTAGAACAAGGAGAACATGCCTCTAATTGCTCATGTAATCGTTTCTGCACCTCCATTTGTAGCTTCAGTGCTTCAGTAATTTGCATCCCACCACTGCAGACAGATAGACATGCCCACAAACACTTAGCTTATGTAGCGCCACACCAAATAGAACAAAAGAGATCTTTTGTTGCAATACAATTTGCCTTTCACGAAAACAAGTTTTGAGCCTTGAATATGGAAAAATAAATTTAACTCTTCATGTTCTTTTCTTTTCCACTTTTTTATCTCTTTGGTTTGAACTGTCTTTTTTTGGTTTTTTTTTTTTTTTTGCCTTATTTTTTTGCCAACTTTGGTTTGAACTGTCAGTATATTGTTAAACTTTGCTTAATTTCTTTACTTTATGGGCAAAGCCCAGCTGAATGAGAATGGGTGGCATGGAAAAACTATTATAAACTTTACAAAACATGTACAAGCCGTTGTGTCTCTTATCCAGCAACCGGTGAAAGTTTAAGCATCAAAAGGCATAAGAGGAAGCTATACTCACGAAGAGCCATCTAGATTGGAAAGCATGTCGCCTGTTTCCTTCTTTTCAGCTTTTTTTCCTTGCAAAAATTATTACATAAGGTATTAGGAAACAGATATAAGAGTTTATTCCAAAAAAATTAGGCTAAAAAGACCAAATCTCAGAAGTGATTGAATCTGTCCAATGGAATGGGAAAAACAAACCAATGAATTGATAAGATAAGACTGAAGACTTACCATCAGATGATGAATCGGGGAGGTATTTTGCAAGTCGATATTTCTGGATATATAGATAAGAAGAGTGAACAAAGATCAACAATCAAGAACAACAAAGTTCAAGAGTCTCTAAAATCTAAAGCACACATTACCTGTAAATGGCTTTTGACATGATATATTGTTAAGCCTTGCACACCCATAACTCTGAGGACACCTTTAGGTGTGGCACCTACGAAAAAATTACTAGAAATTTTAAACACTTTCATGAAAATATCATGCATGGAAATTTAAACTCCTCAACCAAAATTTTATAGATCCAACCAGCAGAAATAGCACAAGTCTGACCCAGATATGCAGGCAGTCCTTTGCATTATATGCCTTTTACTCAAGACGCAGGGGCCAGACAATGACCAAGTATCAACAGAAACTAAAAAATACAGATAATTTTTTAAAGGTCCTGTTGTGTTTGAAATGGAGATAACTCCTTTTTGAAAATGATTGTGCTTCATAGCTTTCAACTAAATCTAAAGTAATGAAAAATAATAAACACAGCATCGCAAATTGGTTTTGATAGCCATAGAACAACCTAACATTTACTCTAACAAATAAAACAATACTATATATTTGGTTTGGAGAACAAGAAGAAAACAGTTCCTGTTAAGCAGAAATAAAAAAAAAGAAGAAGGCTTACGATCTGGCCCGCCAAGTTGTGCCACAGCATCAACAAAACGTTCATGCAGCTCATGTGTCCAGCGTAAACGTTGCTTTGAGCTGAGATTAGAGTTATTAGCAGGATTGTTACCTCCATTGAGAGGATCCATTGAACTACCACCACAATCTAAATGCTGCCCATGAACTAATAAACTGCTGCCAACTAGACTTAAATTAGGAACAGTCTTTGGTTGATACATCTGTCATTTATCTGACAGCAATAGAATCAAAGTCAACAGAATGAGCCATGGGAAATTAACAAAAATTTCACATAACCACAAACATAAACTTACTAGTGCGGCTCAAAGAAGCAACATTTTGAAGAGTTATCTAAAATTTCCTAGGTTGAGAAATGCATACTTCTTGGAATTTCAGCAAAGATGTCATTTAGTTATTCATTAAACTAGGCATACAAAGCATTAGTATAACCCAAAGAACAGCACAAATGGCTCGTGCACCAATTTAGCCAGATTTCCATGAAAGAAAAAAAATGTCTGAAAAACCAAGAGTTCCCTTCACTTCAATTAAACATCAGGCTGAAAACAAAGAAAAAAGAAAGTAGTAGGTTATTTTTATATCCTATTGTAACAGACTTATTCAAAGAACTATCATTCCTAACATTTCCAATATATGCATATATATGCCGTGAAACAAGAAGGCATAAGCAACCAGAAAAATGTTTGACATGCATTAATCAGCCGACCGCCACGTCATAAAAAGAGATAATTTGAGGACCACAATGCGAAGATGTAGCTAGAAGCGCACCCCATACGATGAGAGACAGAGCAATTAGAGACATTTTTTGCCTTCTTTTTTGGCGGCAGATGCATCTTTGAAGGTCAAAAGAGTGGTAGAACTAAAAATTACCAGAGAATGGGCATCTCATATACTAACAGCAAAAGGCAATTCATTAAGTCGCTCTTTAGCATCCTAAATTTCAAATGCTTAAAAACCAATTTATAAAAAATCGTTGGCAAAAAAAAATTATAAAAAAAAAATCGTTAAGGTATGTATGGAAAAAAAATCAGTAATCTTTATATTATTTAGAAGGCGTACCACATATGGATAGTAAAATTTTCAAAATTCTTATAATCCAACATATTATAAATCGGTTTCATGCACTTGGAAATTGAAATTCCCATATAACAAACAGCACCCAAGGCATCAAACTTAATCGTGAAGAAATATTGACGAAAAAAATAAATAGAAATATCTCTAAGCAAAGTAGCTAATGCGAACTGGTAATAACAGCAACGATGGACAGAGCGTTTAAGTTGATCATTTTTCATCACGTCGGTACAACAGAATCAGGACACATTCAATATTAATAGTCAACACATGGAGGAGAAGATTCAGTAAACTCATAGCTAAAATTAATGTAACACCTGATACAACCAACAAAAGATATGAAACGAGTAGAAGCAGTTAGGGTTTTGGTGACACAGCGAATAATAACCCAACACTTTGATGACCATAAGAGTGGAATCTCAACCAATTTCCAGGCTAACAGAATCAAATGTCTGATTTTCTCATCTCTAAGCATACAAAGTTAGAAATATAAAAAGAAGAAGCTGAAAAACAAAGACGGAGAAGAAAAAAAACAGACAAGACTGAAGACGGAGAGAAATATGGCTGAAGGAGATTGTTTGGGAAACGGGAAAACCACAAGAAATTAAAAAAAATGTAGAAAAAGAGGAATACTGCACAGAGAGATTGAAATAGAAAAGGAAAGGAGAAAAACAGGACATACCCAGATCTACGAAGGCCAACAACACATACAAAAACTTCGCCTCCTTCAATATCGGAGCTGTGCTGTGCTCTCTGCTACGCGTTCTTCTCTCTTTCTCTCTGCCCGAGTCCAACACAGTAAACAATACTTTGGAAGAAAACATTACTTTTTTATTATATAAAATGAGAGAAAATAAATGTAAGTCCTACCACTTTCAAACCCATATGCCACCTGTCCCTCTCAAAAGCGATTAATTTTTTTATAATATAAAGAGATTAATAATTTAATACATATTTCATTTTCCTGTTTTTTTTTTTAATTCCAAGAGATAGTACTAGTACGAGGGGTTCCCCCCCCCCCCCCAGCAATATGAATCACAATCACACATCATTTTTAATGTTACTGCTCAGAAGATTTTTTCCGTATAATAGTAGTTACTTGTTTTTGTTTAATTTAAATCAAACCAAATATATGGCAGTTACTTGTTTATCAAAATTAGTGCACGAAACATATTACACATCAACAACAATGTTTTAGACAGTGAAATTTTAACAATAACCTTTTTCAATTATGAATCAAATCCTATACTGATTAAACTAATCTTTGTTGATAAATTCTATCTATTTTTATTAATTGCAAAAAGTAGGCAAATATATATAAGGTAGATACGCCACAGTACACAGAATATTTGTCAGTTTGCATTTCAGAAGACATACAGGGGTCGCAAGATTCACAGGTGAAGAATAATATTTACTGCTTGGAATTACATGCAATGGGCACAGGAGAAAATAAAAATAAATGAAGTATTTGTAAATAATTCAAAATTATATAAATATTTATATTTTTTCATAGAAAACATGTTTCAACAAAAAGTTTAAGTTAGGCGAGAGCAGGACAACCAGGCTAAAACTATATTTCAAAAGAAATATGCGTCAATAATTTATTGTCTATTTTTTTATTAAAAAAAATTTGATGAGTTAATCTCATATTCTTTCGATCTTTTTTATAAATCATTTTATCAATTTTATCAATATTAATATAAAAAAATATAATGAATAAAAGTGCGTAAAATTCTAAATATGCTCTTATGCAACAAATTTAAAAAGTGATGTCATGTTACTTTTTTTTTATAAAAAGTAATTTTAAAAATATATTTCAAATACACATATCTTTTAAAATGTAAGTTATAAATGAAATTGGAGGAGTAAGTCATAACAAGTGAGGGGGGAAGAACAATATAAATCTTACTGAAAGAACAATTATAAAAATACTTATAAATGTGCTTAAATAACTAATACATTAATTACAATTGATATAAAATATTAAATTTGCAAAATGACATGTTAATTACAAATCATGATTAATGCGGTTCTTTTATCAGACTCCACGCTACATATTCCCATCTTTTCTAAATATGGAAATTAGTTAAAGAGTATTAGTTGCTATTTTCCTAGATGCAAATTAGTAATTATCGAACTATTACACGTAGAACACGAGAAACATATTAACAAAGATTTATCTAGTTAGAATGAATAATTTAAACCATAATATGTAAGATTGTAATATCAAATTTTATTGTCGATGTAAACACACCATTGATGAACAATTTGTAAGTATATCTATAAACACTCTTTAAATTTGAAAACAATATGACATGGCCTAGTAAGTTCTGATAAGCCATTTTACCTATAGTTTTTGCTTATAAAAAAACAAAAAGAATACATGAAAGTATGTCTAAATTGATCGTAAGTGATAAAGTAAAGAGTAATATAGATGAAATGTTTTCTTGAATATAAAAACATGCTTTAGTTATGGTGAATTCTCAAGACCCATTTCATCTAAACTTTTTTTTAAAAGAATCGAAGAGACACATTAAAATCTATCTAAATTGATGGTAAGCGATAAAGTGATACAAGGGAGAAAAATAAAGATCAAGTTGGATGAAAAGAGAGGAGAGAGTAGGCAGAGTAGTTAACTACTTAGTTTGTTGTGATATACGAAAGATGTTTGTGTGCCTTGTTGGTGGTGTGACTATGTTTGTATTGAAGGAACAAGGAAGAGGAAGAGAGAATATGATATGATAATAGCATGTTGGCAAGTTATGGAAGGTGACATATCCTAAACATCAACACATAGTAATCGGCTAAGAAGGAATCAATCCCAGCATCTTCCCCATGCAATATTCCGATGCTTTCTCCTCCAATCCCCTTCCTCTCTCTTCCGGCACTCTCGTCCCTTTCCTCATTCTTCTCTTCTTTCATCTCTTCTATATATATATATATATATAATTATCATCTCAAATGCCAGCATTGTTGGATCTGATTTCATATAAGTCTTTTTAATCTACTAAGTCTAAATCTAGATACTCGATCCAATCATCATTGGTGAAAAGATTATATCATTATAATAATTATGAGATGTGAAGTTCATTGATAGCCATGCTTTCATACATTTTTTTTTTGTCAATTTCTTGATACATAATTACATGAATGATTGTAATCTAATTCAGGACCATTTGTTTCAGTTTATTTTATAATTTTTTTTGAAAAAAAAATTATTTTATGAGTTTTTATAATAGTTGTTTAAATGTTTGAATATAATTGGTATTTAAAAATACAGATTTTTAATTATTTTAAAGTAGCTTTTAAAAATAATTCAATATAGTAGATGAGGAAGAATTTTTTATAAAGGCGGATATGTGAATATATTGTAAAATTTTAAAATAATTAAATAATAAATTATTTTTATAAAATAAAAATCAAAGAAGCTATTATAAAATTTGAAAAATAGCTAATTAATAATTAATTTTTATTATTGTAACTAAACATAAAATAATTTTTTCTTTTTATAAAACCTTTAAACTATCTAAACTTAACTTATCATTTTAATTTTAAACAAACAGGCCATTAATAGTACGCTATATTCTTTTAATCTTATATTATATTTAGGTTTCTCTAGCTCCATATATAGGTCTTCTTCTTAAAAAATTTTATGATTTCAAATATAAAGAATTTGTAAATATTTTCTTGTATTGTAGTAAATGTTAACCATTTTATATGATTTAACAAAATTGATTATGAAACGAATTAAAAAATTGGGAGCATGCCTGAATTTTTTTTAAAAAAATTGAACTAAATTATTCTTGTAGTCACGAAACAAGTTTGTTTGTGAAAACAAACTTTGATTTAATGATGATAATTTGAGAAAAGTGTAATAATTTCTGAAATTTTGTAATTTTATTTATAAAAATAACAAAGCATACAATAATTTAGCTTATAATGGGGAAAAAAATTGAAGGGGGTATGTCCTTTCCGGTTTCCAATGAGGGAGTGGAGAGAGTATATGTTTTTCAAATTTATGATAATTATCGGGATAAAAATGAAAAGCAGAACAAATTCTATACAAATTTAATAACGTAGCTAATTTTTATTGATCTAACAATATATTTAAAAATGATTTATATTACGGAAGGAGTAAAAATTATAAGATGTAAGTTTCATAGATAGTTAGTTAGTCATGTATCAATTAATAATGCTATACTTTTCCTAATTAACTACTTGGTAATCCATTTTAGTAAATTGTTAACTAACCAAGAACAACACTTAATGTTTATTTAATTGGCTTCGAGATCACATTTAACTTCGATAGGTTCTTTCTAAAATGATGTAAAATCCGAAACTAACTGCTACTGATTTAAATAAAATATTCGAGATAATATCAATGAAGAACTCATAAAAAAATTAATATTAAAAAAAAGATCACATTTGGACGACTAAAATAATAAATATTAAATAAATTTTTTTCCCTTTTTTGGTTGATTGGTGTTTGTAATTTATTTTTTAGTGATTAATAAAATGATCTTTTCTCTCAAAAAAAATATTTATTAAAACTTGAATTTTACTTTACTTATTATAAGTCATTGTTAGATATTAAATTTTTTAAAGATCTTCAATTATCTCATCCCTAAAAAGTTTAAAGGAATAACATAGAAAGACCTAATTTTTTTTTTTTCACATTTAGTGTTTAGGGTCCTAACATTTTTAAGTAACATTTTTTTTTTCAACTTGAAATTGTGGACGAGTCAGAACTTGAACTCAACTACTAAAAAAAGGTTATTCACATTATTTGTTACTATCAAAATCATGTGAATACAACAACAATGAGGGCACTTTTAGAAGGGAGAAATTAAAACAATGAGGTCAACTAAAAAAGTTCAACCCTTCGAATTTTGATCCAAAAAATTTAAACAAAGTTAAAACATACATGACGTTCCACCTAATTAATTAATTAAATATTACAAGTTTCCATTATAATTGCATTTGTTTATCAATTTTACTAGACATATTCCTAGCTTTTTCCCCCCATCACAATACATACTGCTCCTTGTTAGCTATTAACTAATCAACTAAATTGCTTTCGGAAATGTAATTAAAGACATTATGATTTCTTTAATTTTTTTCCCCAATATATTATAAAGGTTTGATGTCTAAATTTTCTACCTGTACCCATCTCTATCCTTATCGGTTATCAACCCAACCCAAGTTACGATTGATTTTTAATTTAACATCAAGTATAAGTCTCTCTCTTTGATTTGACAAATTTGCAAATTATATTTACTTATTGGTCTATAGATGAAGATGGGAGAAAAATATAAATGATGAGATACTAATAGGAGATGGTCTTAATAGAAGAAATTACGATCATTTGGGTAAATGCAAAAAAAAAAAAAAAAATTGAAAGAGCTTCTCTCATTTGGATTTGATAATGCTCAAAACTAACACAGTCAAATGATCAGATGAAAAAGATAAGATATCTTCTAAAAAAATTATCACATATTCAGAGGGCATTGTGTTATTTTTTTAATTGATTAAATAAATGGGATTTTATTTTTTTATTTTTATTTTCTCTTTTGAACATATTTATATTTTTATTTAAGTAAAATATTTGTCAGCTAAACTTTCATTATTTTAAACCATTGAATTTAGATTATATATAAATATATAAAGTATACAATAATTTTCATGTAATCAGAGGCACATAGAAGGTCGCAGGCCACGAAAAATAGCTCCCCAAGTGGCTCTCATCTAAATACTGTTCCTTCAAAAAAAAATAAGATTAATTAGGGTCACTTTCTTTTTCACAACAATGTCAAATTTTCAAT